CCGATCAGCGCTAATCCGGTCAAAATTGGTTGATTCGTTCGAGAGATATTCATGGGTAAGGCCTCGTGACGTTGTCTAAGCATTTGGCAACGCAGGTATGCTCAATGATTATGGGGATGACGGTAGACAAGTAACAAATGAACGAGACATACAGGGATAACTAAATATTATGGCTCAACAGGCCTTACGGCTACACCTTCCCGCATGGGCCCCGCTGGGCAACTGCTCGGGTTGTCATTATATTACCGGCCAGGCCAACGTAGTCGTTGAATGGAGTTGTATAGGGGAGGTTTGATACAGTGAACAATTACGAGGACAGATTGACATTAAATTAAATACAACTCCATTCACATTCTGTCCAGTGATAGCGTAAAAGCTGGAGGGCAGGGTTTTTCCTTGCCCGGCGAGTTGAAGGTGCTTTTGTTTGGTGAGATTTGGGCTTTATTTTACGTGCGTGTATAGCTTTTTTAAGCCCAGGAAACGGCCTGTTCGAAAGGAGGCAGACGAAAGTCTCACCAAATAACTCGTTAGTAAAGGTTCCGTCTTTCCTCAGCTAGAACTGTGAGCGGCAAAGTTCCGGAAATGACACACACTGCTTCCAATAAATCTTGACCTCAGCGACCATGATCGACTAACTTCAACCCAAAGTTGTAAAAAATGCATTACTTTTTTAATGCATTTCATGTGTCATTATTCATTATCAAAGTAATGAGTAATGTATTTTATTTCCATTACTCATTTTTTTTTTTTTAATGAGGAATTAATTTATTTTCATTAATTTTTTTTTAATGAGCAATGTAATTTTTCGCACATTATACATTTGAAATTTTAATGAGTATTTTGAAAATTCACATTAAAATACTGTATGTAAATGAGTAATGTAACTTTTTTACATTACTCATTTTTTCAATTTTAATGGAAAATTAGTCAATGTTTCATTATTCAATACTCATTATAAATAAGTACCGTACCAGTATATAAGGTTCCCAGAGTATTTGCTTTGCATTATTCTGATTGATCAGTATTAAAAATTATAAGAAACTTGTAATCTAATTAGTTTAAATCGCGAAACTGCAAAAGATACTTTTTCTGTTTAAATTAGAAGCTCTTCAAATCATAACTCATAATTTTAATATTATTATAACAAATTAAAATTGATTAAAAGAAGGGAAAATTTCAATCTAAAAAATTTTATTTCTAAAATAAGTACTAAGAAACTCTTTTGACCGAAAGCAAGAAGTTTTATTCTATATAGGCTTCAGATAACGAGTTACTGCTGTAAAATTCTAATTTTTTTAGTCTGAGAATTTGTTTTACAAACTCGAATTGATTTTTATGTTAGTTTATAAATTGATTATACTTTTCAACATTGGAGGTATATTCTTGATTATAGATAGTAATTATTAATAACTAATTCATTTAGAAAAAACTAGATATTTTCTTTAATCGAAGAATATTTTTTCAGAGATAGAAAAAATTTGGTAAAACTCAACTTAATACTAAAAAATTTACATGCTCTGACATAATAAACTTTTAATTTATAACAAATAAATTTGGACCAAATAAAACCTTAAGAATATGAATTTTATATGAATAACAAAATAGAATAAAGACAATTTTTAGTAGTTATTTATAATATTCTAGCAGAAAAGTCCTTCAAAAAATTATTAACTATCGGTGAAATAATTGAGTATAATTTAAAGAGTAAAAATTAACTAAAAGCTGATCAATGATGACTAAATATAAATCAAATATCGTGTGTGCTTGAGGAATCGATAAAAAATCTTAACAGAAACACGATTTAATGAATTCATTTATCAAATGTAGTTTTATTAACAATTATTTCAAAGAAAAATACAATTTTATATAGTAAAAGTTAACAATAATTTTTTGCAAGGTTAACTTTACAAAGTACTCTTTGTTCGAAATACTCATCGGTAAGTCTGTTGTATCTCGGTAGGTTCATCATTGTTACATGACTGAAAAGCCTTTCTGCGGGAGCAGATGAAGGCAGAGGCGTATTGAACTTCAAAAAAACTTTTCGGATTGATGGAAATTTTTCCAAAAGTGCGAATCCAGTTTCTCTGCTCTTCAGGTAACGAGCTACTTCAGCTGCAGTTTCACCTTGTGAAAGTGACGGTTGAAATTCAGGAATCGCTGAAGAAAATTCTCCGAAGTTGAATTCATCGATCTCATCCTCAGTAATGCCAACTGTTGAGTCGATAGATGCTTCTGCGGACACCACTTCTGAGAAACGATCGTGAATTTTCTTTTGATCTTCGTCAGTAAAAGGGGTCAACCAACGGCCTTTAAACTGTGGGTGAGGGATAGCAGCTAAAAATGCATCTATATCCGGTTGAGATGGGTCAAATAATTTTTGAAATCGCTTATTAATTCCATCGATTATTGCTTGAGCAAGTGGCTTGAAATCAATAAACGTCGTATCATTAATTAATTTCTGCATTTCATATTTTACGGAAACTAATGTTGGAAGAAGAACACCATAGTAACACTTGTCTCCTTGTAAGCGATCAATTGCACATGCTAAGGGTTTTGAACAACGAACATACTCCGCCAGAAATTTAAAGTCTTTAGACTTGAAACCATTCATGAGATTGATTTTGCTGTTGTCTAAAAGTTTATTTTGAACCGATAAAAGTTGATTAATACAATCGTAAGTGGAATTCCACCGAGTCACAACTGGCCGTTTTAGTGAAACTCCTAAATAAGATTTTAAACTTTCGGAAGTCTTAGGAGATCGTAAACTTTTCCATAATGATGAACATTTTCCTATTACGTTGAAGTATTTTTTTTTCAAGGTCTTAGAATTATTGATTGCTTTTAAACAGTCAGTTGTTGCTACCAAATTCAACGAGTGGCTAGCACATCGAAAATGACGAGGAAGTTTATCTTCACATTTGGTGGCAAACTCATCGCTTATCTCCACATTTTCATCGACAGCATCAAAGTCTGTCTCATAGGTACTAATATCAATTATCATGTCCGTATCATCAACTTGCTTTTCATTCGAATCTAAAAATAATAACACATATCAGCACATGAGATAAAAAAAATTGGGAAAACGCTTGACCCTAACAGCTATCCCAGCAACTTCCCGCTAATTCCATGCTTAAGCGCTTAAAATTGTACTTATTTAGTTTTTGAGCTCGTAGAGCTTACAAATATAATTTTTGTGTCATTTTGAACTCTCCAAGCTCAAAAGTCTGATAGAAGTTTAATAAAACACAATTTTTTGAATTTTCAAACCGCAATAACTTTTTAATGAATGAACCGATTTTCACGCGGTTTACGGCGTTCGACGTAGTTTTTCAAGCTTCATGAAGAATTTATGTTTAAATTGATCGAACGACAAATTTCAGAGTGATTCCGAAAAAACACTTTTTTCGATTTTCTTTCGACAACGATAATTCATGAAAGAATCAACCGATTTTGATCGGACTAGCGACGATCGTCGTGGTTTTTTAATGTTAAGAGCTGATTAGTTTTTGGAATCGATCGATAGAGCCGTTTAAAAGTTATTCCAAAAAAACCACATTTGAAAAAAAAAAATTTTTGTAATTTTTTTGAGATTTCTCAAATTCTACCGGTCCGAATCGGTTGAAATTGTATTCAAAATCTAAGTTTGGTCAAGCTTTTTCGAATGGCACCAACCGTGATGGAATCGGTCAATTCGTTCAAAAGTTATAAGAGGGCCAAATGCATACAAACACACACACACACACACACACACACACACACACACACAGTGACACCCTCGCGAGAGTAGTCAGGGAAGCTTCTTAGGACCAATTTACTAATGACTTGATACGTAAATTCAATTATTCTAAGCAATACTTTCGTCATTTGAGCACTTTTTTTGTGTCTGTATTATAAAAATAACATATATTTATCTGCGAAAGTATCATTTAACGCTTCTATTCCAAACTCTTTGAAATCTTTCACAAAATTAGACCCATTATCCGTTACCGTAGCTCGAATAGATTGCGCTGTTAACCTGAAAGAAGAGTGAATGTCCGATAACTGTTCCGCAATAGCATCAAATGAATGCGTACCGTAGAATCTTCTGCATGCGATCGCTGCAGATTTGTGTTCCAGTGATCCAGGGTGAATCTGTATGAATATTAAAAAGTTACCGTAAGTTAATTATAATTTATGATTGTCTAGCTATCTATTATTTACCCAACTAACTGTTACTCCAAGAAATCTGCGTGATCCCCCAGTCCACACATCTGCAGTTGTACATACATACCCTCCTTTTTTTATAATGTCAAGGATTGCTTTACGCACATCATCAAACGAATTTTTAAAAATTCCATCAACTCGTTTCATTAAAGCGTAGCGAGTTAAATGCTGCAGTTGACAATCATTTTTCTTGATTTCGAAATCTGTAAAATATTATTCGATTAAGTGAGCAAAACAAAAATAGATGGAAAATATTTTAACTCGTTGGATAAACCATTTTGACCAGGTTCTTTTTGATGTGACTGAAATATTTTTAATACTTAGCAAATACGATCTTTACAGGAGTAGGCCTCATAATTTTTCTTATTCTCTTAATAATATAGATTATTATTACTATTTTTATTATTATTATTATTATTATTATTATTTAATTATTATTGTTGTTTTAACTATTATTGCCTGCCACATGAAAATCATGTTGCTGTCACATGAAAATCATGTGGCTGCTACATGATCTTTTCACGTGGCTGTCACAGGATTTTCCTGTTGCTGCAACATGAAAATCATGTGGCCGCCCCATGAAAAAGTCATGTAGCTGCGACAGAAATGTATCATGTGGCAGCCCCAATTTTTTTTCCCGTGTATAAAAAATTATTTAAAAAATCAATTAAGGAATAGCCACTGTGAAATTTAAAAAAAAATAATTTTTTTTTTAATTTTTCTCGAGTTATAGTCATTTTTATGACATCGCGTCAAATGACCGTTGCACGCGCGGCACTCCGACAAAAATGCGTTTTTCTCGAAATTACTTTTTTCGAACTGGTCTCATCTGTAATTTGCATAAATATGAACCGATTTGCAACTTTTTTTTCCATAATCGTTTATTCAGTAGCTATAGTTGCATGTAGGGGATTTTTAAAATTTTGATTTTTAAGATTTTTTACGGCTGTTTGAATCCAAAAAAATGAGAAAAAAAAACGAAAAAATTTTTAATACGTCGCCATTTTTTTTCAAATCCAAATTTTTAAAATCCCCTACGTGCAATGATAACCACATGTATGCAGCTTACAACGCAGTTTGGTTTTTTTGTTTTAGATAATCCGTTTTTGAGTTAGAGATGAGACCGTGGTGGGGGAAATTTTTTGAGTGCTCCAAAAAAATCCTTAAAACTTTGTAGCAACATGATATTTTTTAACAAAAATTTAGAAGAATGATCTTTAATGCATATTTTATGAAACAAAAAAACCTGATCCCCAAATTCCTTTATTATCCCAGTCAAAAAAAGAATTCCCAAAAATCAACTATTTTTCCGATACTCACAGTGGCAAACCCCCTTAAAAAAACTTAATACATTTACCGTCAAATATTTTTCGAAGAGCAGGGTCTTCTACAGCTCTGAATGGTATCATAAATCGAAACATAAAATTAGCTACATTAGTAGTAGTTCAGCAAGGCCGACTTGACTCCCCGATAAAGTAGATTTCCGCAGTATCTACATTGGAATTCTGCCTTATCGACGGTTGTTGGCGGAGTTTCTGCGATGTCGATGGTCGGTTTTTTGCTCTACTTACCGACAGTTGTTGGGGATTATCATCGATTTGTTGGTCGATTTTTTTTACCGACTGTTGGGGGGTTATCATCGATTTGGTGATCGATATTTACCAACTGTTGAGGGATTGTCATCGATTTGTTGATCGATTGTTTGAGGTCAAAATGCTACCACCCCAACAGCAGAGCTGATACCTTTACCGTGTATCAGCTTTGAAATGTAGGTATTGAAGTCTGTTTATCGATTTGAGGTAAGTTTTATCGCCAGTCTGATGTCAACTAGTGATCTATGTTATCGACTGCGAGTATCAACAGTCGGTATTATCTGTTCTGTTTTTATCGATGTGGGGTAAGAGTTTTTTGAATTTTAACGTTTTTTAGCCCCTACTCTCTCGATTACATCATGTTTTTACGTCATCCGACAAGTTTAAACCTGTTTTTTAGCGTCGTCATCGTGAATTTTAACGTTTTTTACCCCGTCTTCTCTCGATTACGTCATGTTTTTACGTCATCCGACAAGTTTAAAGCTGTTTTTGGCGTTGTCATCGTCGTTGAGAGGGGATCGTTGGTAGGGAGTTATACTTACTTGCCTCCAAATTTCAGTTTTCTGCCGGGGCTGGACATCAATGACCCATAATCCGATTGCCCAGACCTAGTATTGGACACAATCCTTTTACCCAGAATTCGTTTGCCCAGATTTCTATGATACAGTGCATCTTTTACCCAGAGTTCCAATGATACAGAATTTCTATTACACAGGCATCCGATAACACATAATATCTTTTACTCAGTAATTCATTTACATAGGTTTATTTTGCCCAGACTCTTCAATTTGATCTTAGAAGTTCTTGCAATAAATAGCGCAGGCATAACTAATTATAATTTGAAAACATTTTTTTTATTTCAACAATTAACAAATCCGAGCCGCCTTATTTTTCTGTTACATTTGTTCAACTCCTGGATTATTCCATATCAAATCGATCGATAGTTCGAATCAACCCCTTTTCGATTCGGACAAATTTTGGTCTGAAGTTTTCTTTTATCATGTAACAAAATTCTGCCAAAAGAAAAAAATAAAAAAAAAATTTTTTTAGGATCAGTACAAAGTATTATACAAAAAAAAACTAAGCTAAAATTTTAATGTCAATTGTCATTTTTGACAATTTTCAAAAATTCAAAATTTGATTGACATTTTTCAAAATTTTTTTCCAAAATATTTTTTTTTTTTCAATAGCACCAAGTGTCCCTTTTTAAACAAACGAAAGGCCATTTCTGTATCTATAATATAGCGTTCGAGATATTACAAAAATGAAATTCAAAAACTGTAAAAATCACAAAATTTTCAATTTGCATATTTTTTGAAAATATTTTTTTTATTTTTTTTCTTTTGACAGAACTTTGACAGAAAGGGGTCGATCTGACATGGAATGGCCCAGGAGTTAAATAAATGTTACAGAAAAATAAGGCGGCTCGGATTTGTTAATTGTTGAAATAAAAAAAAATGTTTTCAAATTATAATTAGTTATGCCTGCGCTATTTATTGCAAGAACTTCTGAGATCAAATTGAAGAGTTTGGGCAAAAGAAACCTGTGTAAATGAATTATTGAGTAAAAGATATTATGTGTTATCGGATGCCTGTGTAATAGAAATTCTGTATCATTGAAACTCTGGGTAAAATATGCACTGTATCATAGAAATCTGGGTAAACGAATTCTGGGTAAAAGAATTGTGTCCAATACTAGGTCTGGATAATTGGATTATGGGTCATTGATGTCCACCCTCTGCCTGCAGTTACTTCAATCAGTCGTTCAGTTTAAAAAAAATTTGTGTCTTTTTTTAAAAATATTTAAAATTGTGTACTCTACGGAAAATCAAGTATGTCATTTATTTCATTATTCTATTTTATAACTAATTTCTACTATTATTATTATTAACTATTTTCTATCTCTTTCTTAGCTTAATAATTCAAAAATGGATTTGAGTGCTATCAATAAAATCAACAACTTACCGAACTTTTTACCAACTAAAAAGTTTGAAGAACTGCAACTAAACAAGATTTATCAAATCACGGAAATTAAGAAAGTCAACACAAAATATGGACCAAAAATTTTGGGAATTGTGGAAAACGAGTTTTCAATTTTCTTCCCGAATCGAACCAACCGGATGCTCATTGATGATGAAGAACAGTTAACTTCACTGATCGATTTGGCCTCAGCAGGAGGACTTCACTTGAATTATTTCGGAACAGCTTATCACAAGTTTGAATTTCTTATCAAACTTTTATAATCAAGAATAAATTATCAATTACTTCAATTAAATTTATGTTAAAAAATAAATTAAGTCTATGTTATAATTCCAAATTTAAGAGGAGTTTTCATGAGAAATGATTTTCGTGATTTTGATATTTCTATGGAAAGCATTATTTGTATAACGGAAGAATGTTTTATTGGTGATAGGAAAGTTAAAGTAACATCTTATCATTTGAAAAACTTTTTATTAATAAGCTATAAATATTCCGAAGACGAACTGGATAGTCCACCAATTGAGGCTGCACTTATAATTCTTTAATTGGTCAATTATAAAGAAAGTGAAATATGGAATACTTAATTGATCTTTTTTTTCGGTTATATATTATGCCAAACGGTTCATTTGCAGTCAAGGAATTTTGTATCACCAAGATTACTAATGAATATCAATTCAATGGTGTTTATGAGTGTGACTATCATTTATTTAAGCCTTCAATGATGATTACTAGTGCATCTGTTATTAAGAAAAATCTGGACTATAATGCACGTCGTCATGTAATTAGCTGAGATGTCGGTAAAACTGCGTATAATGTACTTGGGGAAATTTTTAATAATTTAACGTGTTATTTGAGCTATTTATATGTTGAAGGTGAAAAAAACAAAGAATGGCTTGAAAAATTAATTGATGATCCATCTGATGGCTGCTATCCGCCATTTTGAATTGTGAATCTGCTATCTGGAGGCTGTTCTGACGCGATCTTCTAAGAATCTTACACAATTTCCCCCTCTACACTGTGCTTTCATGGTAAGGATTGATCCTCAATCTGCTCGGTAAGATATCATCATTCAGTTTCTGTTCTTGAACTTGAGCACTTAAAGTCGAGAAGATAGAGATTTTTATTGATTTTGAAGGCTTCTACACGCTTGATGCATCTTTTATTGTCAAAGAGCTTGCTGTTATCTCACTAAGTGATGAAGTGGATTTTTTTAGTTCTGCTGCGCTAGCAACTTTTAAACCACCAGCAGAGTACACCAATGAATTCATGGTCTTGGAGACCAAAGATTTTTGGTTGAGAAAGCATGGTATTAAATGGGATGAAAGATCATTCTCATATACCAAACTCGAAGAAGTGCTGCGAGAGACTCTCAAGTACAAAACATACATTTATGTTTTGAGTGAGGAAAAAAATGTTGGCTTGAAAAGGTAATTAATTTTTCATCCGAAATGATTGATCTATCAAAGGTGAGATTTATCAACCATCTTGAAGACTTTGATCCTATCCAACCATGTCTCCTGAAGAAAAATCACTGAAGGAAACGCAATTACGCTTGTGCGTATGAAACGGTGCAAAGAATGAAACGTTGGTTTCTCAGCTGTTGGGGTTTCAATCCATCTCTGGAAAAGTCATTACAGCTTTTTTATCAGCTCCAGTCTTTAGTCAAGATGGATCCACAAGACATTGCCTGTTTGGATGAATCTTTTATACTTCAATTCACAAAACATGAAATTAATGATATATGGTCAAAGCTCCCTGAGCGTATGAGGATGGATTCAAGATTT